TCTAGGTCCCTTCCGACTCATTGATTCTATCATTCTATGAAAAAGTTTAGATTGTACAGATCAACAGAGCCAGGACAGGAGGAGTTTCCCACAGCAATCTTAGCCAGTTCCACATTTCTGATATGAATCCCAAGCCTCACATTTAACAAACAGATGCAGAAATCACTACATATGTTCACATTGACTTTAAATTCCCTGATATTGCAAAACTAAATGGTGGAACTTTTACTGTTACATAAATGTATTACTGACTCATTATTTTTGTTTTCAACTGTCTAAAGAGCCTAAACCCACTCCTTGTTAGAATTAAGTATCTTTTCAGAATCCTTAGATCAGACCTAGAAGGCTGCAGGAACACTTAGGTTCAGTCTCCCAAAAGAATGAAAACTTGCTGTTCATGCTCAGTATAATTTGAAAATATAGTTTCAACATTCTCCTTCTCTCCCACCTCCAATTTTAGCCAAAGATGAACTCCTCAGACAAGTCTTCACATTTATCTGTTCTGAAACAGAATGTGCGCGCTGAGGTTTAAAATAGTCATCCCCAGCAAAAACAAAATTTAACATTTTGATATTTGTTCTGGAGGTATTAAATAAAGGTGGGTGTGAGAGTAGGTATGTTTCCCTACTTGTCCAGAAAATATAAAAATCTAAACTCAACTCTTTTCTAGGTTTGGCTTTATTAATTGAGCCTTCAGCAATGGGTTCACATCATCTCAAAAGCATAACTACGGCTAGAACCCTTCCCGAGGCCTTCTTGACCAACACCTCCAGATCCACTTCCCTCAGATCCATGACCACTGTGTTTTATATTCTGGTGCAATAAAAAGGCATCTGAGTTTGGATGTTGACAAAAATCCACTGAACCCTTGTCTGGCAGGACCAGTATCTGCTAAAAGGATATGGTACAGCAGTCAGATATTACTAGCCTTTTACAAAATGCTCTAGTTTAAAGACCTTGCATATTGAAATGACAGTACATCCTTCAAAGTCTCCTGATATTCCTGACATTTTTCAAATTAGCAAATACTTAGTACTGATAGTTTAAACCAGATGTCAAACCAGCACTGAACTGTCAGTAATTATTTACCTTACATCATTAAGGTCACACTTATTTCCTGCAATGGCAACAACAATGTTTGGTGGTCCATGTTGTCGAAGCTCTTTCACCCAGTTCTTCAAAGTTGCGAAAGTTTCCTGATATCAGAAAGGGAGAGGAAATTAAGAGTCAGGATCTCCTCATTTAAAAACAAGCAAAAGTTTGTAAAATGATGTTACAAACTACATCTTCTTACCTCTTTTGTGATGTCATAAACTATGATAGCTGCTGCTGACCCTCGATAGTACATTGGTGCTAAAGCACGAAACTGCAAGATGAAAACATAGAATGGCTTGACACTGGGCCTGAGACCACGTAGGTCAGTGACCAATTAATCCAGTTGCTACTACTCTCATAGAAAACTTATTCTTACATTTAAATAGGTTGGCTGCAAGCAACAAGTTTCACGTGAAGCAGAGTTAGATAAGGACAATTTGGCAAATGTACTACTGACACATCCCACTGTAACAAAGCAATTAATGAAATTTTTCAGTCCAGATTAAAGCCCCAGATTCAAAAAAGGATCCATAGATTTTTACATTAGGTACAGATTTCAGCATGAGTATCTAATTCTGAACACTGGGGAAGAAGAAGAAGGCTGGTCAGAATGGAATACTTTTATTCTTTGTGAAAGCAAATAGAAAACAAGTTAAAGAAAAATAGCATATGCTACTGATACCAAGGGTTCAAAAACTACGAGTCAAGACCCCCAAAATCCATAGGACCAGTGTAGGAGATTCATGAACACACAAAATTGAACAGATGCTTCTGTTTTTAGGGTTTGTTTTCAAGTGTCTCTCTTCAACAACAAATGTTGAATACCTATGAAAAAGAAAATACAGCAGAAGTCTCACAATTACCTTACAGTTGCAGGTAACATTTAAGACACCATCGTGTCATTAATTCTCAAGATTGTCTGTGAATTTTGGAATGCTTGGTGTATGTTTGCCTGTAATATATAGACAACTCCAACATGTTCATAAGATATGACTTTGAATTTGTAAGAGATCACAATCGTCTAAAGAATGTGACTGGCACTTTACCAATACATTAGAAGAATTTTAATACCATGTTTCTAAAAAACTCTGATAGGTTAGAAATAGGCAACTAATTTAAACACTAAGAAGTATCAAGGGAAGAACAAAATAATTAACTGAAATTTAAATGCAATTTTTGATTTATGAAACTTCTATACTGACATATGCATACTTTGCAATAAGGCCATGAAAAAATAAAATTATAAAGAAAGCATGGCTTTTCACAAAGACTTTGCTGGTTCTAATAAAATGCCAATCTATGTTTTGGTTAACATAATTCAGTTGACAGCAATTCAATATATCCTTAAAAATCCAGTGAATTTACTTGGCTTACAAAATTCTGTTTTGAGAGTAAGCTTGTATACAAAGTTCATGGGTGAGAAGAGAGATTATGGGAGTGTAGTCAGCACATCTTAGAGAAGTGTAATAGAAGGGGAAGGGAGGGGGAAATAAGTATTTAGGATGCAAGGAGAAACATATTTGGTAAACCACTACTAGGATTAGTTGACAACCTGGCTTTTTTTATTCCTATTTATACCGGGTAACACCCAATTTCATTAGCAAATCTTGCATCGCCCTCGTTTCCTGTCTGCTAACACTTAGATACTTTTTTCCATCTAAGAACAGTCAGAGGATAGAATACATTTTCCCTTTACCAAAACAGATGTTACCAGAAACATTCAATTTTCTTTTTGCTGTCGGTTCAAAAAAATCTAGTTTTCTTGCCCTGCAGGGAAATTCTGATTTGAACCCTAACATAGAATTGCCAGCAAGAGTCAACATAATCATGAGAATTTGCGAACATGGGGGTTAGATAACAAGGCTGAAACTCTGACAGTGGCAGAAAGAAATGTTGTACTGTCCATAGGCGATGGAAAAAAACCAAAAAAAAAAACCAAAAAAAAAAAAACCACAGTTGCTTTTGGCACTTGAGCATTTGAAGTGTTAGGTTTAAGGGAGAGTGATCCAAATGAAAGCTTTCATCAGAATGACGATTGGAATGGAAACTGAATCACCAGGAGAGATGGAGTAATCAAATTTGGTGGTGACCAGCTGGTGACCACCTAACTAATTAATATCTTTTGCATTTCAGCTCCAAGAAATTAAGAAGCCATAAGAAACCGTTCTAGAATGAGCTGTTGACAAGTAGGTGGGGGGAAAAATTGGGAACAAAATCCTTGCTCTATGAAAGTTAATACAAGTTTTACCATAGCCTTCAATAGCATTAGAACATCACTTGTTCTCCACAGATGAATATAGACAATTCATGGCAAACTGTGAAGTGGAGTATGAACTAGTACATATTAGATATAGAAGCAGCACAATATATTTTTTTTAATTAAGAAGTCAAGCTGGTCTTACTGATCATTTGAAAAGGCAGAATTAGAGTTCATAAGGGAATTCTACTTTTCTTATCCCTAATGTGTGCATAGCAAAAGCAAGAAGGGTGGGAGGGACGTGCAAGATCAGCAGAGATCAGGGTTTTCCATTTGCCATGGAAAAAATGTGAATTTTCTCTGTTAAAAAAAAACAAAAAAAAACACGGTGGGCTCAGGGCTCCCACTTTGCTGCCCTCCCCACAGGGCTTCTGCAGCCCAGGGGGTGGAACCTGTTGCAGGAAGACAGAGCGGGGCGGGGAAGTTTGCTGCTGCTGTTGGAAGCCTTACGCTGGCCATGCTGCCATGGTGAGGCATCCCCTGCCTACCCAGCAGCAGTGGGGGGCATAACTCCATGCAACCACAGACACTAGGCATGGCTGGCGCAGTGCTTCTGGCAGTGGTGGCAGCACCAGCACTGAGCCTCTCCGCCCTCCTGCACTGGGTCCCACCTACTGAACCATGGAGGTTCCCAGGGGGAGGGCAGCAGTCTGCCTACATCCTTCACTCCTATAGGCAGCAGCTGGGGTTTGGGTGCCACTGGTGGGGGAGCAGGGGGATGTAGGCCCTGT